TAAATAAATAAATTTTTAAAAAAACCATGAATCTCACTATATTGGGCAGGCTGGTTTTGAAATTGCAATCTTCCTGCCTCAGCTTTCTCAGTAGCTGGTATTTTTCAGCTGTGGACCACCACACTTGGCAATGAAATTTTGTTTAATCATCTTTATTGTAACACAGGAGCACATAAAGTAAAAAAATTAATGTACAAGTTTATGAATTGTAAATGCTGATTTGCATAATGACTGGCAATAAAAGCAGAACATTTCTAAGGACTTTACTTGCCTATTGATAATTTGTAATCCTTTTCCTTTTTCCTCTAAAACTTACCATTAGTGATTTTTTTTAATTGCAATCTTTTTTTAATTGCATTTTTTATTTTTTTAAATCGCAGTCATTAAGAAATTCTAGGTCAGGTGTGGTGCTGCACTCCTGTAATCCCAGTACTCAGGAGATTGAGGCAGGAGGGTTGCTGCAAGCTTGAGACCAGCCAGGTCTACTTAGTGAGTTCAAGGCCAACCTGGAGTATATAGCAAGGCCTTATCTGGAAAACAAAACAAAACAAAAGAAATTCTAGATATGCATCTTTAAAATTTAGTTTTCTTATTGAGAAACTTTTACAGAAAAATCTATGTAAGAAAAATGCTAGCAGTATGGGTATTTTTGTTTCTTGTTTTTGTGGTGCACAAAGTGGATCAAATGCTGGGCTTGTAACCTATTAGGCGAGTGCTGCACTTACATCAAACTCTATCTGCAGCCTTTTATTATAACCTTGTGTATGTGTGTGCCTGTGGGGGTGCTGGGGGTTGAATCCTGGGCCTTCACATCTCTCTCTCTCTCTCTCTCTCTCTCTCTCTCTCTCTCTCTCTCTCATTTATTTTTGAGGAAGAGTCTAAGTAGTCCAAGCTAGCCTCAAACTCATGGTGATCCTTCTGCCTTAGCTTCCCTTGTGCTGGGATTGGATGATAGGTGGGTGCTACCATGCCTGGGTTTGTTTAGAAACAGGGCCTTGCTAAGACATTAAATTGTCAAGGCTTGAGTGTAGGATCCTCTGGCCCCAGCCTCCCAGGACTATAGGCATGTGCCATCAGGAGCTCATCATTTTTTTCAATTTTTTCAATTTTTTTTTTTTTTGTGCCGGGGATCAAACTCAGGACCTTGAGCTTGCCAGGCAGATGCTTATGCCATGGAGCTATCTCCCTAACCTCTATTTATTTGTGTATTTAGTACAGGGTCTATAATAGGGTCTCACTACACAGCTCAGACTCATATTGATCCTCCT